GGATCCTCCTCTCACACATTGCACTATTTGAACACAGACATAAGATTCTCTGATCACTGTACCTGTCGTGGGTATATGTCACGTGAGGCTACGAGGTGTATTAAATTCATGCCGACGCATACAAGATATTTCCTTCCAAGTATAGTTTCTGGATCACTGTCAACACCTCACATAGTTCTGGTACATTTATCCTTTTTCCAGATCATTGTTCTCATGTATTTTCATATGATATCTGTTGGAGTTATGTTCGCTACACGCTCACAGACGTAAATAGTAAGACCTTCAAACCCTGATCCACACTTAGTCTTACAGTACACTAGTCCGGCTCAACTGGACTTTAACATTCATCTTATGCCTACCCTGAGTGATCCTTAATGCTATGAATACATACACTTAATATGATATAACTATACCTGGGTACAATACAACACATGGTCTAGGAACCTTGAGTAGGTGAGTTGTCCTTTATCAATGTTTCCCGTTTTCTTAGGTTCTACAAGCGCGGTGCATTTGAATGTTATGTAGCGTAATATGAATTAAATGGGATTTTTAGGGATGACAATGATGTGCGCAGTACACCGAAAAGTAGATAAGATTATCTACTTTTCGAGAAAGTAGATTATCGACATTTTGGGGAAGTAAATTTTCGACTTTTGGGGAAATATTACCTAATTTTGCGAAGTAGATTATCATAGAAAACGGGAAATTTGTATCACAGAAAATGGGAAATATCTACTTTCCGGGAAAGTTGGTTATCTACTTTCCCGAAAAGTAGATAATCTTATCTACTTTTCGAGAAAGTAGATTATCGACATTTTGGGGAATTAAATTTTCGACTTTTGGGGAAATATTACCTAATTTGCGAAGTAGATTATCATAGAAAACGGGAAATTTGTATCACAGAAAATGGGAAATATCTACTTTCCGGGAAAGTTGGTTATCTACTTTCCCAAAAAGTAGATTTTCTACTTTTCGGGAAAGTAGATTATCGATTTTTCGGGGAAGCAGATTATCGACTTTTTGGGAAAAATTACCTAATTTTGAGAATTAGATTATCATAGAAAACAGGAAATTTGTATCACAGAAAATTGGATATATCTACTTTCCGGGAAAGTTGGTTATCTACTTTCCCGTGGAAGTAGATCATCGACTTTTGGGGAAATATTACCAAATTTTGCGAAGTAGATTATCATAGAAAACGGGAAATTTGTATCACAGAAAATGGGAAATATCTACTTTCCGGGAAAGTTGGTTATCTACTTATATTTCCCCAAAAGTCGATGATCTACTTCCCCAAAAAAACGATAATCTACTTTCCCGAAAAGTAGATAATCTACTTTTCAGGAAAGTAGATAGCCAACTTTCCCGGAAAGTAGATATTTCTCATTTTCTATGCAACAAATTTCCCGTTTTCTATGATAATCTACTTCGGAAAATTAGGTAATATTTCCACCAAAAGTCGTTAATGTCCTTCTCCGAAAAGTCAATAATCTACTTTCCCAGAAAGTAGTTATTTCCCATTTTCTATGATAAAAAAATTCCGTTTTCTATAATATAAATTGTTTTCTATGAGAATCTAATTTTCGAAAACTTATGTAATCTAATTTCCTGAAAGTAGATTATCGACTTTTTGGGAAATGTTACCTAATTTTACGAAGTAGATTGTCATAGAAAAGGGGAAATTTGTATCATACAAAATGGGAAATATCTACTTTTTAGGAAAGTTGGTTATCTACTTCCCCGAAAACTCCAGTGGATAAAGCGTTTTACCTGCCACTCATTGAAGCCTGAGTTCGAGTCCTAGCATTTCTCTCTTCTTTTCCTATTTTCTGTTTTTAGTTTTTTCGTCATGGGACACTATTTTCGCTGTATTATATCCTAAAAGTTAATCAAAAGTGAAATTGGGCCATAAATTTGACGTTTTTAGGTATTTTAGCGTATATTCATATTCGAAGCTTCGAATGCTTCAATGAAGCATCAAAATAATTCAATGAAGCTTCGTGACGTCACTCTCAACCTTCATATATAAAGTCTCGACTAACTCATTTTCGCCCCGAGAGAGGACAGATGAAGCGATCTGGTTGAGCCCAGATTCTTTCTACTCCTACTGTATTTCAGTTTCACCACTTTTTCTTCAATTCCTAAAAATCTTCTTTCACCTCTTAACTAATGACTTCGTATCGTATTTTCGCCCCATTCTTCACCGACCATCACCACTCACTGACTGCAGTTGACAAGCAGGTAAGCCAGAGCTGCCCCACACTTCTAGTCTCAATTATATACGTGTAATGTTTTTCCCCGACTGTCTACAGTCAAAATGGCCAAGAGAAATGGTTATTCTTTTGGGTAGTGTTTAATATACTTAATTATGGCGTAATAAATGCTGATTTAAGTTAAAAACTTGCCAGCCGGTTGTTGCAGTTCACTTGCCTCCAAGGGTCGTATCCCCAAGATTCACTGGGCTGTATGGCCTATGGTACCTACTATGCAGCTTAAACAAGTACATTAATATGGTTTAGTATTATATTAAGCGTTTCTCTAACGTCAAACCAGTAATTTCTTAATGTTTTAGGCAAATATACCGCCAAATGAGCCATGACAAACGAGCCTAAACTATGAGCCGGTGGTAGGTAACGAGCGTAAACCGTACATCAGTATTTACGTAATAATTAACCAGTAAGCGAGTTCAATGACCAGATTGGGTTAGATTACTGTATTTACTTTTTAATTTCACTTTTTCCCCCTTGCTTGGAAGCCCAACCCACTTTTGGAGGAGCCAGGTGGTCATAACTCAATAATTACGCATGTCTCCAAACGTTCATCATCACCACTGTATGTATTCACCATTAAAAACTGGGCCACAATGACTACTGTAGGTTTGACAAATATAACGATTTTTTGCGGAATTACGATATATTTTTTTTACTGGCTATTTCTTTGCTTACTCTTTAACTAAGATTTCTGGAAGTGGAAACAGAATTTATTACAGGTTTTAGGGTGGGCGAGGCAGGGAGCCGGCCCAGGCGGGGCGATAGGTAGGGAGCCAGCCGAGGCGAGAGCCGACGGAGGGCGAGACGTTTCAGAAAGTCGAGGTTGAGGTGTTTCCGAATACAGTATACAGTATATTAAATAAAGTAACATTAAGGGTTCCTGGTAATTTTTTAAAAGTGAACAAACCTGCTGGATTTTACCATCGGAAAAACACATTGCTGTAATAGGCCCCTGTCTCATCAACAGAACGTATTATATAAATGGGTCAATACATCTGATATTATATTCAGATTCACCACCCTGTAACTTTCCACTGTCTATGAGTAAGACATGAGATTGACACGTGAGCGGGCAACTTACCCAAGAGGGCGAGACCCATAACTCAGCATTTCTGTAAGCACGCACTGCGATGCCCCTAAGCTTCAGTAGCTCACCTCAACTCATATCGAAAGGACGTGACCAAACGTTTATCATACATAAACGCCGTCCCTTTCTCATTCACTCCTAGACAGTGAGACTTACGGTTGATATACACTCAGGAATTATATATACAACCTTTTATAATAAAACAAAGGAACTACCGTTTGGGTTTCGTTACTTAAAACCCAAATATAAATATGTGTGAACGGACTGGTTAATTGGACAAGCAGCCGATTCATTGCTCAACAACCAAAAAGGACCAAAATTAACTTAACAACGTAACCTAACCTAACCTAACCTAACCTAGAGGTTCGTTGGTTGTCTACTTGTAAAAAAAAATACCGGGTTCCTAAAATAAATGGTAGATGTATATAGCGACAACTAAAATATATTGGTAAATAAGGCAGCAACCATCTAATTAATATAACCTCTGGAAAACGTTAAAATCTTTGGCTCGCCTGAGGATTCATCCCCAGCTTATTTCAGCTGAAGATCAATTTAACCTAAGCCAATCTACGTATTACAATGTGCTGGTGTACCTTTTTCTTTTTCAGATAAAGGAATGACTACAGATCCAACTACAGTTCAAAACCCTCTGTTACTCGTGTGGTGCAGCATGTGGTCAGTGTGGTGCAGTACGAGGTCAAAAGTGAAGTGTGGTGCAGTTTGTGGGGATAACAAACCACGTGTGTGAGAAGTGAAGCTTCTGACATTACACAACAGTATTCCTTGAGGTATTATTTTAACGTTTTGTGTGAAGGTGTGGATGGGTGTAGCCTGCTATGGTGTCATTTAATTTTTTGTGAGGGTGTGGGTGGGTGTAACTTGTCGGTGGTCGTTTAACTCTGAGTGGAGTTGTGGGTGGGTGTGGCTTCCTGTGGTGTCGTTAAATGTTTTGTGAGGGTGTCGGTGGGTGTGGCTTGTTGTGGTGTCATATAACGTTTTGAGTGTAAGAGGGTTTGGCTTGTGGGGGCTGTGTATGAGATGGGTTGTGTTCCCATGAGAAGGAATTGTGCACGAGGTGGGCAGGTGGTTGTGAAGTTTGTCATTCAAGCCAAGTGTAACCAAGCTGTTGAGGGGGGGACTTAAGAGGCCTGATGAGGGAGGGAAGGTCGAGTGAGCTGTAGTAAACCTTGTGTATAGTGTATGAAGCAGTGTATAGATGCGTAGTATAGTGGAGCATTACTGTATTGTTTGTGAGAAGTAATTTGAGTAAACTAATGTGGAAGAAATGATTTATATAAACAGTTGGGGACAGTTTAAGTGCGTGTGGTCTAGTGTTAGTTAGTTAGTTAGTTAGTTAGTTAGTTAGTTAGTTAGTTAGTTAGTTAGTTAGTTAGTTAGTTAGTTAGTTAGTTAGTTAGTTAGTTAGTTAGTTAGTTAGTTAGTTAGTTAGTTAGTTAGTTAGTTAGTTAGTTAGTTAGTTAGATTAAATAATTTTATACATATATATTTACACATAAATATATTTTATATATTAAGATATTTATTTAAGCTATAATTGATTTTTAAGTGAATTATAAAGCGGAAATACTTATAATAGTCGAATGTTTCCTTACACAACACCAGGAAGTAAACAAACCGACATAGAGACGGTGGTGACTCTACAGGGCAGCCGATAACCCAACTTAACCTCCATTATTGATCTATGGAGACGATTTATGGCCGATTGATGACTTAAAATAGTATTAACTGGAAGATAAGATAAGAGAGGTGGATAGTATTGATGTTAACAGCTATTGGTGGTCGAGCAATAAGAAGAGTTGTAACGGGGACTTGGCAGGTGAGGTGGTATGGTTTGCCCGTATAGACCCCAGAGCTTATAGACCCTTGTCCTAATGGGCCCCAGTTGGTGGTTAATTTGTTCTCCCTGTTCTAATAGGCCCCAGATGCTTGTTAATTTGTTCTCCCTGTTCTAATAGGCCCCAGATTCTTGTTAATTTGTTCTCCCTGTTCTAATAGGCCCCAGATTCTTGTTAATTTTCTCCCCCAGTTCTAATAGGCCCCCAAACCTAACCTAACCAAACTACGTGTCCTTATTGCAGAAACACAGAACCCACGTCTCTTCAAAGGCCAAGATGAACGTAAAGAATAAATCCGTCGCTCTCTGTTGGCTGCGGAACGATTTGCGATACCACGATAATGAGGTAGTTATGTGTTGTTAGTCCTGAATAAGTTATTTTCTATTTGTTGATTATTTCTATCCATCTATCCGCCTGTTTATCTATCTATCTATCTATTTAATTAATATTTATTCACGTCTTGTTGGTTGCGAAATTATTTGGAATGTCAGGGAAAAGATTATCTCCCCCAAGTGCTCACCTGAAGATTAGTTCCCCCAAGTGCTCACCTGTAGATTAACCCCCAAGTGCTCACCTGAAGATTAGTTCCCCCAAGTGCTCACCTGAAGATTAGCTCCCCCAAGTGCTCACCTGAAGATTAGCTCCCCAAGTGCTCACCTGAAGATTAACCCCCAAGTGCTCACCTGAAGATTAACCCCCAAGTGCTCGCCAGAAGTCACCCCCAGCTTAACCACCCTGAAACTATCTTCGGGGGAGGAGGAGGGCTAATGTTCAGGTGATCCATTGAGGCTAAAAATCACCAAATGGCCTCGTTCATGATCTAGTCTTAATAGCTCGTTGAATATTGTAACGATCGATGTTGTTATCGTCACAGGTGTTGATGAAAGCAAATACCAACGTCGACGAGGTCGTTCCCGTGTATTGCTTCGACCCGAGACACTTCCAAGAGACTTATCACTTCTGTTTCTCCAAGACCGGAAACCATCGTGCCAAGTTCCTCCTTCAGAGTGTCCAGGATCTGAGAAACACTTTACGTTCGAGAGGGAGGTGAGTGTTAGTGCGTTAACCTAACCTAACCAGTCCTAATGCCAACCTAATCTAACCAAACCTAACGTAACATAATGCGAACATAACCAGTCCTAATGCCAACCTAATCTAACCAAACCTAACGTAACATAATGCGAACATAACCAGTCCTAATGCCAACCTAATCTAACCAAATCTAATGTAACAGAATGCTAATGTGACCTAACTTAACATAATGCAAACCTAACCTGTTCTAATGCAAACCTAACCTAACCAAACCTAACGTAACATAATGCTAATGTGACCTAACTTAACCTAATGCTAACCTAACCTAATGCTAACCTAACCTAACCAAACCTAACGTAACATAATGCTAATGTGACCTAACTTAACCTAATGCTAACCTAACCTGTTCTAATGCAAACCTAATCTAACCAAACCTAACGTAACATAATGCTAATGTGACCTAACTTAACATAATGCAAACCTAACCTGTTCTAATGCAAACCTAATCTAACCAAACCTAACATAACATAATGCTAATGTGACCTAACTTAACATAATGCAAACCTAACCTGTTCTAATGCAAACCTAACCGAACCAAACCTAACGTAACATAATGCTAATGTGACCTAACTTAACCTAATGCTAACCTAACCTGTTCTAATGCAAACCTAACCGAACCAAACCTAACGTAACATAATGCTAATGTGACCTAACTTAACCTAATGCAAACCTAACCTGTTCTAATGCAAACCTAACCTGTTCTAATGCAAACCTAACCGAACCAAACCTAACGTAACATAATGCTAATGTGACCTAACTTAACCTAATGCTAACCAAACCTAACCAAACCTAATCTAACCTGACGTTTAGATTTATCATCGTGGAAAATATCGACGTTTATATAATTATCGTCGATGATTTATTCTGCCATTTATTTTCAGCGACTTGTTGGTGAGGTTTGGGGAGCCAGAGGTAATTATTCCGTCGATTTTAAAGACCATCGCAGCAGCCTCCTACTTTGTTGTTTATCAGGAAGAGGTAAAGTTTAGTACGTGTGACTTTCATTGTTCACTTACAATTATAAGTAATATGTGTATGATGAATTATTATAAGTACTGTATCTAGGTTAAGTATTTTCCACTTTTTTACTTACAGTTATAAAGTAAAACCTCATATAATGGACTATCATCTCTATATAGTTCATTAAATGGAGGTTTCACATCTAACGGACCCTCGATATAATGGACTATCATCTCTATATAGTTCATTAAATGGAGGTTTCACATCTAACTGACCCTCGATATAATGGACTATCATCTCTATATAGTTCATTAAATGGAGGTTTCACATCTAACGGACCCTCGATATAATGGACTTTCATCTCTATATAGTTCATTAAATGGAGGTTTCACATCTAACGGACCCTCGATATAATGGACTATCATCTCTATATAGTTCATTAAATGGAGGTTTCACATCTAACGGACCCTCGATATAATGGACTATCATCTCTATATAGTTCATTAAATGGGGGTTTCACATCTAACGAACCCTCGATATAATGGACTCTCATCTCTATATAGCCCGTTAAATAAATACATTCACCGTACTAGTCCTAAATTATCATACGCTTTTTCTGAACCCTAGACTCCAATATTTACGTTAACCTCGTGCTCTACCCAGGTAACGAGAGAGGAGAAGGATGTCGAACGAGCTCTGCGAGAACGCTGTAAGGCGGCTGGGGCTCAAATTCATTCTTTCTGGGGTTCGACGCTCTACCACAAGAATGACTTACCGTTTGCCGTCAATAAGTGAGTCTGTGTTTATTAATAGGTACCAGATAGAGCGAGAGAGAGAGAGAGAGAGAGAGAGATTGATACATATTAATTTGGTCGTAATAATCCTGATGCTCACCAACCTACTCCTTACAGCATCCCGGACACTTTCACGGGATTTAGAAAAGCCGTCGAAGCGCAGAGTCGAGTCCTAGGCCCCATAGTAATGCCGGAGAAATTAAAGCCACTTCCCTCGGGCATTGACCTCGGAGATTTACCCACACTAGAGCGACTCGGTGTTAAAGGTAAACAATGGGTGTTGTTTGTTTGTTTTTTAATTTGTTTTTTAAGCTGGGGTGTTTTATAGGGGTGATTTTCACGTTCATTTTAATACAACCGTCAATAGACTGAAAGATAAACTCAGCTTGATCTGTTTATTTAAGCTGGGATGTTTTATAGGGGGGGGATAGGATTTTGATGTTAATTTTCACACGTACGTTAATGAACTGAGAGGTAAACATCACACGATTAATTTATTTGATTGATTTATTTTATGGGAAGCCGTGATGTGTGGTTATTCACAGATGCCCCAACGGACAGACGAACAGCTTTTCCGTTTTCTGGCGGGGAAACGTCCGGTCTGGAACGGGTGAAACGGTACTTCTGGGACTCTAACAACGTTGCCAAGTACAAGGAGACGAGGAACGGACTATTGGGGGAGGAGTACTCGACGAAGTTGAGTCCGTGGTAGGAATTTCTCTCTCGTCAATGAATGCCTTTAATAAAAATGCCTCTTTGTTATGTATGTTAAGAAAATGCCTCCCAGTGCCTCATGCCTTTAATAAAATGCCTCCTAATGCCATACACCCCTAAGAAAATGCCTCTGCCTTCCTCATGCCCTTAAAGAAAATGCCTCTGACTTCCTCATGTCCTTAATAAAATGCCTCTGCCTTCCTCATGCCCTTAAGAAAATGCCTCAACGTCACATGCCAATAAATTATTCCTCTTAATGCCTCAGGTTAGCCCACGGTTGCCTCTCACCTCGCTATATCTTCGCTGAAATCAAGAAATACGAAAGCGCTCGAATCGCCAATCAGAGTACGTACTGGGTGGTGTTTGAGATGATCTGGCGAGACTATTTTAAGTGAGTATTTGGGCTATTTTTAAGTATTTGGGGGCTATTTTTAAGTGTTTTTTTTTTGGCTATTTTAAGTGAGTATTTGGGCTATTTTAAGTAATTTTGTTGGCTATTTTCAGTATTTTTGGCTATTTTAAGTAAGTTTCTGGCTATTTTAAAGTATCTTTACTATTTTAAATGAGTGATGATGTTGATAATGATAAGACAAAAATAATAATGACGATAATTTATTTGACGTATTTCAGATTTGTTTGTGTGAAGTACGGCGACCGCGTGTTCTATCCTTCCGGCATTATGGGCAAAAAGAGACAATGGAAGAATGATCCGCAGGTTTTTCAGACGTGGAAAGGTGTGTATGTGTTAATTGTTACCTGGGGGCCACCTGAAGATTAGACACCCTGGGTTAGTTAGGGTTAGATTAGGGTAGCTAGGTAGGGTTAGGTATGTAGGTAGGGTAGGTTAGGGTAGTGTTAAGTTAGGTTAGGGTATGGTGTAATGATTAGCATCCTCACCTCACAACCATGTGGTCCAAGGTCTGATCCCCGGCCAGGGTGAAACTATGGGCAAGTTTCTTTACGCCATTTGCCTCGGTCTACCCAGCAGTAATTGGGGACTTGGATGTTAGTAGATTTGTGGATGGTGTTCTGGGGTAATGGTTAGCCAGTGCAGTTGGTGAGTTGTCCGGTCTTCTCGGACTATTCCTTGACACTGGATCATGCAGCTCTGTAACTCAGGGTGTGGTTGTTGTGTTGGCGACAGCTTCTACACCTTAAACACTGGGTCATGCAGCTCATTAACCTAGGGCATGGTTGTTGTGTTGGCGACAGCTTCTACACCTTAAACACTGGGTCATGCAGCTCATTAACCTAGGGCATGGTTGTTGTGTTGGCGACAGCTTCTACACCTTAAACACTGGGTCATGCAGCTCATTAACCTAGGGCATGGTTGTTGTGATGGCGACAGCTTCTACACCTTAAACACTGGGTCATGCAGCTCATTAACCTAGGGCATTGTTGTTGTGTTGGCGACAGCTTCTACACCTTAAACAAATTCATGTCTAGGGGGGCCTTTGGGCAGACCATCCCCGTTACATAAGAACATAAGAATGGAGGAAACTGCAGCAGGCCTATTGGCCCATACTGGGCAGTCCCGTTTACACCCAACCCCTATTGCTCATATAAGCATCCAACCTATGTTTGAAGCTATTCAGCGTATTCGAGTTAATGATGATATTTGGTAACTTGTTCCATTCATCCACTACTCTGTTTCCAAACCAGTGTTTACCTATTTCACGCCCTAAATCTAAAATTTGTCTGAATTAAAACCATTATTCTGAGTTAAAACACGGTTGGATAGTTTGAGTACCTTTGTAATGTCCCCTTTGTTTAGCCCTGCCTTCCACTTATACACCTCTATCAGGTCGCCCCTCGCTCTACGTCTCTCGAGGGAGTGTAAATTAAGATGCTTTAGCCTGTCTCTATACTCAAGGTTCCTAATGCCTGGGATTAGTCTTGTCATTCTCCTCTGAATTCTTTCCAAGGATTCTATATCCATTCTGTAATACGGCGACCAGAACTGAACTGCGTAGTCCAGGTGTGGTCTCACAAGAGCAAGATACAGTTTTAGGATGACCTCGCTAGTCTTGTAACTAACACTCCTTTGTATGAACCCAAGTACTTTATTAGCCTTGTTACGAGCAAAGACACATTGTTTACTTGGTTTAAGGTTCCTACTTATCATTACTCCTAAATCTCTCTCGCAGTCGGATTTCTCTATGGCATCGTTGTTCATCTGGTATCTGGTTTCCCTGTTTACATCTCCTATACTGAGTACTTTACATTTGTCAACGTTGAATTTCATCTGCCATTTTTCAGACCATTCGAAAAATTTGTTTAGATCTTCCTGTAGTTTTGCCGAGTCCTCATCAGATTTAATAACACGTCCTATTTTAGTGTCATCAGCAAATTTACTTATGTTGCTGTCTATGCCGATATCTATGTCGTTTATGTATATAATAAATAATAATGGTCCAAGTACTGAGCCTTGGGGAACTCCACTTGTGACGTTGCTCCAATGGGACTTAGTGCCATTAATGCTCACTCCCTGTTTCCTGTCCTGTAACCATGCCCTAATCCATTTAAGGATGTCACCTTTGATGCCATGAGCTTCTACCTTTCTAATTAGTCTTTCGTGGGGGACTCTGTTGAAGGCTTTGCTAAAGTCGAGATATACCACATCATAATTGTGCCCCTCGTCCACCGATTCGAAAACTGATGAAAAGAATGTTAATAGATTAGTTAGGCAAGAACATCCGCTTGTGAAGCCATGCTGGGAATCATTGATCAATCGGTGCTTCTCCAGGTGATTTCGAATAGAGTTTGAGATGATTGCTTCCAGTAATTTGCCAACAATTGATGTTAGACTGATTGGGCGGTAGTTAGAGGATAGTGATCTATCCCCCTTCTTGAAAATCGGTATTACACGAGGGGCAACCATTATTATTATTATGGTAGTGCTGTGTTAGGTTAGGGTGGTACAGTATTAGACAGGGTAAACTTGTATGATAATTTAACTATTATTATTATTTTTAAATTGGCAGTTGAACCTTCATTGTCTATACATGCTAAATCAATTATAAGTTTGAATGATGATTAAATTATTATTATTATTAGCATTGTTACATATTACTATTTATTCACAGATGGTCAAACAGGAGTGCCGTTCGTAGATGCCAACATGCGGGAGTTAAAAGAGACGGGCTGGATGAGTAATCGCGGCCGTCAGAACGTAGCCTCATTTCTCATTAAGGACCTGGGTTTGGACTGGAGACTTGGTGCTGAATGGTTCGAGTCGCAGTTGGTGAGATGAGGCCTGAGGGTTGTGTTTGGGGTAGTTAAGATCATGAACGAGGCCATTTGGTGGTTTTAACCTATGGAACACCTGAACATTGCCCCCCCCACCCCCCCCCCTTAGCTACCAGCCCCAGATAGTTTGAGGGGGTGAAGTTCAGGCTGGTTTGGGTTAATCATCAGGTGAGCACTTGGGGGTTAATCTTCAGGTGAGCACTTGGGGGTTAATTTTCAGGTGAGCATTTGGGGGTTAATCTTCAGGTGAGCACTTGGGGGTTAATCTTCGGTGAGCTTATCTTCAGGTGAGCACTTGGGGTTAATCTACAGGTGACACTTGGGGTTAATCTACAGTGAGCAGGGGTTAATCTTCAGGTGAGCAGGAGTTAATCTTGAGGTGAAACACTTGGGGGTTAATCATCAGGTGAGCACTTGGGGGTTAATCTTCAGGTGAGCACTTGGGGGTTAATTTTCAGGTGAGCACTTGGGGGTTAATCTTCAGGTGAGCACTTGGGGGTTAATCTTCAGGTGAGCACTTGGGGGTTAATCTTCAGGTGAGCACTTGGGGGTTAATCTTGAGGTGAGCACTTGGGGGTTAATCATCAGGCATTTCATAGGGTTAAAATAATAAGTAATCCGATACTTTCCATAAATTTAACTACATCATCGTCTCTTTCAATAAGATATCACATAGGGCCACATTCATAGTTAATATCCACTCTCTATATCCCAATAAACCTACACAGTACTTATTATAAACTTACACACAGTCACTATAGCATTAAGGCATATATTAATGCCTTTTTTACCTTATATCACAGCATATAGGCATCTTTATATTAACTAATCCATGCCGTATAGATGCATTCATAAAGCAATGCCTCTCTCTCTCTCTCTCTCTCTCTCTCTCTCAGTTAGACCACGATGTATGCAGTAACTACGGCAACTGGAACTACTCGGCAGGTATCGGTAACGACCCTCGAGAAAACAGGAAATTCAATATGGTGAAACAAGGACTGGACTATGACCCGAAGGTAAGCCGGTCGTTAGGTTAGGTTTGATCGTTTATATACGTCGGATAAATTAAACTGAGGGACGATTATCACCTCGTTAAACCCGTCACTCCGCGCATTTCCATCTCCTAGGGTGAGTTCATCCGCACGTGGGTCCCGGAACTCGCCGAGATCAGAGGTGCCATGGTTCACACGCCTTGGAAGATGTCTCTGCACGACCTAGGCAAAGCAGGAGTGTCCCTCGGAGAATATTACCCCAATCCTGTCGTTGTGGCCCCAGAGTGGAGTCGTCAGGATCACAGGGTGGTGAGTTCTGCATGACGGTTTATGGCTGTTGTTGGTGATGTAGCCGAGAGGTGTATTAGGGTAGAGATTCTGTCATAATTTTAGCCTTTATGAAGCACCTGGAGATTAGTTACCCTCAAGTGCTCACCTGAAGATTAGTTACCCTCAAGTGCTCACCTGAAGATTAGCTCCCTAAGTAAGCTTAAGTTAGGTCAGATTAGGTTGTATTGTGATAAGTTTGGTTAGATTGTGTTAGGTCTGGTTAAGTTAGGTTAAGTTAAGGTCTTTTTGAAGCTTAATATACTACACAGCACTGAATACCTGTACTAAAACCACTTCCTGTTTCAGACGTCGAGGACCACTAAACACAAGAACGCGTGGACCAATCAGGGAAGAGAACCCAAGCAACGAGGAATGGATTTTTATTTCAAGTCAAACAATAAATCTTAAATCCAGCTTAGAAAATCAACAAATTTATTAAAGTATTATTTGGGTGCAAGAATTTATTGATCTGTGGTTAAGTTAGGTTTGGATGGGTTAAGTCAGGTCAATCGGACATATGGATAGGCGTCTGTGTATCCAGCAGTAATTGGGGACCTGGATGTTAATAGATTTGTGGATGGTGTTCTTGGGTAATGGTTAGCCAGTACAGTTGGTGAGTTGTCCGGTCTTCAAGGACTATTCCTTGACACCAGGTCATGCAACTTGTTAACTCAGGGTTTAATATATTGTTCAGTTAGCATCTTGTACCTTAGTTAGGTAACTCTTCTTGGTTATATATAAATTCATCCTTGGGCAGTCATTTTCTTATAGTAGCCAATGCTGAAATGTCAAACTCTGGGTTAAAATTTGTTTTTTGATCATGTCAAGCAGAAGACTTGTTGAAATTAACATACAATATTTAGATATTTACTCTTCTTATATACAACTTTTCCTAATAGTACTGGCATGTGTTTATCTAGCAATGGTATTTAAAGAATGATTGCTACAAGAATGGCATTAATTTTGTGGACTTGAATATAGAGTTTTATGTTAATACAGGCCGTCCCTAATTTACAACAGAGATAAGTTCCTCGACCCATAGTTTAGGTTAGGTTAAAGCCCATACAAAACAACAATAATATCCCATATATCAAAAATAATGTAAATAAAGTGATGTTAAACATTATATAATGATGAAAATAATGAAAAAAATGGGATTTTAATTAAAATTTTTTGCAGTGAATGTATTGAGATCCCGTTCATAAGTGCGGGTGATGGTAAGTCTGACGGTCGTAACTCGGGGACTGCCTGTATACACTTTATGTTTGGCCATGATGTGCCACAAACATTAATATCTTACAGAATGAGATATAAGTATTTAAACTATTGCTGAATATTTTATTACAACCCCAATATTGTAGAACATGTGTACAGTAATGGCTGGTCTTCAGATACTGTATGTGGATGTCTTAAATTAATATTGCTGTAATTGCCCTAAAATTCATTATGAGTAAAGAATCATTAAAATAATAGGTTTTTGTATTTATGGAATTTAATGAGCAGAAGATTCCATGGCTGGTTTATATTTTGAGTTGAGAGCCAAATGTTAGATTGTTCTGGACGACGCCCGGGGAGGAGCCAAGGTAATATTTATGATAATTTACTGTTTTATGACCGTAATTATTGCTGGAAATGAGTCTAGATAGAATATTATTAAATAACATGTTGAAGGTGACTGCCAATAACTCATAGAGATGAGTATTTTATATAAATTTGGGTCACTAGTTTATTACATTGTGTATACAGTAAACTGGAGTCAGTATTTATTGTCCAGATCACTTTCCTGGTGACTGTTTTAGTGTTTGTTTGACCAAGATTCAACATTGTCTTTGTTATATGTGAAGCTTTAACCCTGTACTGTACTGATCTATATTATACAGTACTGTACTGTATTGTACTGTATTGTACTGTATGTCAGTTGTAGCATTAATGAGGGACTACTGTACTGTACTGTTCCATAATATACTGTATTGTTCTGTTCTGATCCATATTATACTGTACTGATCCATATTATACTGTACTGATCCATATTATACTGTACTGTTCTGTACTGCACTTGGGGTTAATATTCAGGTTCTATCTTCACACAGTCAAGGACGTAGTTTTGGAGTGTGTGGCCATATGTTTGGCCACATACTTTACATTTAGTCTTGTTCACATCTGCCTGAGGGAAATACTGCCAGAGTGTGTGGCCATATGTCTGGCCACACACTTTACATTTGGTCTTGTTC